AATTCCTTCTAGGCTATCCAGAGATGGAGGCACAGAGAGGTTATTTCTGCACACATCTGTATTCCTGGGACACAAACAACTGCCAGCATGCCCTGAATCTGTGGAGTCGGATTCCAACCACTGCCATGATCCAAGGTGCTGCCAGAGAAGCCAGTCTGGCTCTGGGAGCCACCCAGCCCAGGACACAGCCAGGGAGTGATGTTGGTGTCTGGATTGTCACTGTGCCACTGTGGTAGGGTGACCCTGGATGGGCACTGGGTGCCCCCCAAAGCTGCTCTTGCTCCCTCCTCAGCTGGGCAGGGAGAGAAAATACAACAAAAGGCTTGTGGGTCGAGCTCAGGGCAGGGAGAGCTCACTCACTGATTCCATTTGGAGAAAACAGTTTAATTTATTACCAATCAAATCAAAGTAGGTCAATGGGAAATAAATCCAAATCTTAAAACACCTTCCCTCCATCCTTCCCTTCTTTCTGGGCTCAACTCCCCTCCTGATTTTCTCTACTCCCTCCCTGGAAGTGGTGCAGTGGGATGGGGAATGGGGGCTGTGCTCAGTCTGTCACACGTGGTCTCTGCTGCTCCTTCCTCCTCCGGGCAAGGATTCCTCACACTCTTCCTGTGGGAGACAGTCCAGGAACAGGCTGCTCCAGTGAGAGTTCTCTACTGGGTCACAGGTCCTACCAGCAACCTGCTCCAGAGTGGCTCCTTCTCCATGGGCCCACAGGTCCTGCCAGGATCCTGCTCCAGCCTGGGCTTCCCATGGGCCCACAGCCTCCTTCGAGCATCCCCCTGCTCCAATGTGGAGTCCTCCAGGGGCTGCAAGGGAATCTCAGCTCTGGTGCCCGGAGCACCTCCTTCCCTTCCTTCTGCACTGGCCTGGGGGTCTGCAGGGTTTTCCCCTCACACGTTCTCACTCCTCTCTCCAGCAGCTCTCCTGCAGGGCTTTTTTCCCCTTAAATACGTTATCCCAGAGGCTCCACCACCATTGCTGATGGGCTTGGCCTTGCCCAGCAGCAGATCCATCTTGGAGCAAGCTGGCATTGGCTCCACGGACACGGGGGAAGCTTCCAGAAGCTTCTCACAGCAGCCACCCCCTGTACCAAAACCTTGTCACCCAAACCCAGCACAGCCACAGAGGTGCTGCCAGCACGAGGTGCTCCCACCAGCTGATGCCAGAGGGTTCCCACCAGAGGAAGCGTCCCTGGCACAGCTCCAGCACCACATGGATTGGTCAGATACCACCAGCTCAGGGCTGGGTTTGGCATCTGCCCTGAGATATCCCCCCCCATCCTCTGTGTTGTCCCTCCCCACATCTGTTGGGGTTCACTTGCAGTTATCAGCAGTAACAATACTCATATTTTCACAGCATCTCCTCCCCCCTCTCTTGCCAAACACAGCTCACTGTTGCACAAGAGATGGGAAGGGAAGACACTGGTTAAGTGTGAAAATACATGAAAATAAACGTGGAGCAATTGCTCCCATCCTGGATATCAGTTTTGGTGTCGGGCTTGGCAAACTGCTTCTGTGCTCAAGAGTTTATGTGGGGGTTTTTTCCAGCTATGTGGAAAAAGCACAAGATGCCATCTCTCCTTAGATCTTTCCCCACCCTTTTTCTGATTGTAGTTCCTTAAAAATCATAAAATCATGGAATGGTTTGGGTTGGAAGGGACCTTAAAGATCATCCAGTGCCACCCCCTGCCATGGGCAGGGACACCTTCCACTAGCCCAGGTTGCTCCAAGCCCTGTCCAGCATGGCCTTGAACACTTCCCAGGGATCCAGGAGCAGCCACAGCTTCTCTGGGCAACCTGGAAAATTGGGAATTCAAAAGGGCATCAAAGGGTTTTCTACCAAATAACTAAAATTATTAGATTTATGCGGGGGTTGATGGTTAGTTTTTACCAAGCAACTTTAACTCCCTTAAATGAAGAGTTAAGGAAGATCATCCAGCAAATGAGAGCAGACCAGGGAGAGAGAGTTCTGAGAACACAGCCCAGCTAACAGAGGGTTCACCAGCTGCCCGTGGCCAATCTCAAATACCTGGGAGAAGAGTAACATCCCTGAGTGTTGCACAAGAGAAGGAATCCTTTCCTGACCTTGTTAGTGATCACACTGTGCCCTGGCGCTGTCTGCATCAAATATTAACTGTGGGAGGTCATTATTGTTAAATTAACTTTAATCTGTCCAATTTTAACATGCAAAAAATGTTCCAAAATGCTGCCTTTTTTTTTTATTTTTTCCCCTATTATTAGCAGGCAACTTTCTGATGTGAAATACGGTTTGGAAGGGGAGGAGTGAGGTATGCCCAGAGTGCTGGCTGGGCTATTTTTATCTCAGAAAACAAAAATATTTCATAATAGACATACGAGGATGATTAAAACACTCTTTCCTGGCAACAGGCACAGCAGGACAATGGTGTTTTCACAACCACACAGAGGGAGGGGATTGCACTGAGGGTATCACAGCTGAAAATATACCATCATCAGAGCAGCTCTTCAGTGACTGCTGAACGAGATCTCTGCTCGCTGTGACCACTGACAGGACACAGGGAACGGCTGGAGCTGTGTCAGGGCAGGGTTAGGCTGGATATTAGGAAAAGGTTCTGTTCCCAGAGGGTGGTTGGGCACTGCCCAGGCTCCCCAGGGCAGTGGGCACAGCCCCAAGGCTGCCAGAGCTCCAGGAGGGTTTGGACAACGCTCTCAGGGACAGGGTGGGATCGTTGGAGTGTCTGGGCAGGGTCAAGGGTTGGACTGGATGATCCTGGTGGGTCCCTTTCAGCTCAGGATACTCCATCCCACGATATTTTATGACCCTCATGCAGGATATGAAATAAACAACTGATTCCATGGGCGTTTCCTCAGACACTGATGTTAGACAACCCCACAGTGAGGAGGTACCAGCAGCACTCAGTTTGTTGGGATGAGGAGCCACACTCACCTCTGTCCTCTCTTGCTGCCAATCCTTTATGGCCCCATCTGTTTGTTCCATGTGCAGCTGAATCCATATTTACTCAGCACATATTTGCTCAGTATAGAAGCCAAGTGACTCCCCACTTCCTATGGCCAATGACAGGAGAGCCGGAGATGCTAATTAATGAATTGGCCTCTGGGGTGAAATTATGTCCTCGTTAAGAAGACTCCCATTGATATTAATAAGGTCAGAACATCATTGCTGGTGGCTGAGTCACTGCTGAGCTGGATATCACGGATGTGTAAACAGTGGAGCTGCCCTGGGAAGCTGGTTCCGTGGTCTGTTTATCAAAATGGATCAAGTCACGGTGATATCTGGGGGCAAAAATCACATGGAGCCATAACCATAACGCTGCACTGTACAGGCTTTTCTCCTTCCATGGAGATGAGCTCGCAGGAGCCCTGAACTCCAGAAATAACTCCCCTCCCAAGGGCCTGGGATCAGCTCTTTCCAATTAGCTCATAACCCAGCATCAACAGCTTTTCTGTTCCTCACCCGGCCTGCTCTTTCCACCCATTGCAACCTCTGCCCACGTTCCCAAATCCTCAGCATCTTCCAGCCCAGTCCCTTCTGTTGAAGGTCCTTCCAGCTGCCCTGTGTGTGTCCAGATGACACAGGCCAGGCTGGCTCCAGCAGCATGTCCCTGCTCCCTGTCCAAAGCACCTTCCTTGCTCTACCAGCAGCAGGAGAAGGACATTCTGCCATCCAGCACTGAGGTCATCCCTCGCGCCCCAACAGGAATTCCTCGCCTTCCCAGGCTGACAAAAAAAGCAAGAAATTCCTGCTATCATGAAGCACTAAAGCTTTTCTCAGTAAATGCAACTCATTAAATGCCCAAGTAACTGAGGTGACTCAAAACAAACTCCGGTTTTCCCCAGAGCTCTTCTTCCCTTGGTGCTTCACCTCTGCAGCACCAGTGAAGTCTGAGCTGCACCAGGGTCGTGCCCAGACCAAAATATCTTCCCTGGAGATGCTCATTTGCTGCCTGGGGAGGTGTGTGGGCCAACCCTACATTTAACAGCTGCCACGTGGCCTCATTGTAGAGTCACAGAATGGTTTGGGTTGGAAGGGAACTCAATCCAGTTCCACCCCCTGCCATGGGCAGGGACACCTTCCACTAGCCCAGGTTGCTCCAACCTGGCCTTGGACACTTCCAGGGATCCAGGGGCAGCCACAGCTTCTCTGCCCAACCTGGGACAGGGCCTCACCACCCTCCCAGCCAAGAATTCCTTCCCAATATCCCATCTATCCCTGCCCTCTGGCAGTGGGAAGCCATTCCCCCTTGTCCTGTCCTTCCATCCCTTGTCCCTCTCCAGCTCTCCTGGAGCCCCTTTAGGCACTGGAAGGTGCTCTCAGGTCTCCTCAGAGCCTTCTCTTCTCCAGGCTGAACAACCCTGACTCTTCCTTCAGAACACTCTCTGGGTCATTTGAAGGGCTTGTTTAATATTTGTTTTTCCTCCCCAGACTTCCTGCAAACAACTCACCCTTGTTTTGTTTCGGTTTCCTTGATCCTGCCCCAGCCCTCACGTTGGCACAAGTCCTACCTGTGCCAACCAGGAGCTCCTTCCCCAGCTGACACCAGTGTCAGAACAGCAGGACTAAGCACAGAAACCATCTATTTTCCACCCACCCACCTGAAAATCCTGCTGTGAGCGTGTTTGACACACACATCCAATCATTAAGGACATTCAAGTATAAATTTGGAGTTTACTAAAGTCTAGTTTGATCTCTCTTTTTTCCCTTTATTTAGATGGGGACGTAATGACCAAAGGTCCTCCTAAATGTGCTTAATAAGGGAAGAAATATAATAACTAAAGTGCTGCCAGGAACAAAGGTCTGAGAGATTCGCAGGCACGATAATGATGAATAGCTGGAAAATACCTGCAGCTGCACAGCTGCTTTGGAGTGTTAGGATAGGGGAAAATTAGTAATTAAAACTTTGTTGAAGCACAGAAATCAGGAGAGAAAATGAAGAATCTGACACCCTTCCAAAGCTGTGGTGGAGGTGGTGGTTTGTGAGTCGGTGACAACCTCACCTGGGCTTGGGTCATGTCACCTGTGCAGAGCCCTGCAACTACTAAAGTTGGGACTTTGCACTTCTGTCTAATTAAAAATAAACACTATTTCAGAGAACCATAGGATGGTTTGGGTTGGAAGGGACCTTAAAGATCAGCTGTGTGATTCTGTAGCACCACAAAGGCATCTGGATCCACGCAGGTTCAGCAAAAAGCATCTCAGTGGCCGAGTTGCCCGCGGTGTATCTGCTCTGCTTCTGGTTTTCTTGCAGATTTTCTATTTTCAGGTCGTGTCTTAGAAAGAGCTTTACGAAAAGATGCGACCCATTTATCTCCCTCTGATTTCAGGGGGAAGATGTGCAGGCTCTGAAGAGCAGCATCTTGATGGCCTCAAGTTGGGTAACTACGAAATCAAAGTGTCTGTTTTGGGAAAACGTTGATTTGTGTAAAGCAGGGACTAAGGTAGGGCCAAACCTGGAAATTGTGGCTCCCAGCCCCGAGCCATAATCTCTGAAAAGCCACCCCTCCAAAGTCCTGGCATATTTTGAGATAACCTCCAGCTTCATAAGAAAAATCAAAGCGTTGTATAAAGAATAAGGAGGGGAAAGGGAGAAGAAAAGTCAAAAGAAAGTAACTTGAGGTGGGAACGGAAAAATCACTTCACCAGACAGATATTTTTTTAAAATTACAACAGGCTGGTAAATTTGCTGCAGGGAAAAAAAAAAAAAAGCCAACTACACTTTCAAACCGTGATATTTATGAAAAGAAAGGTTTTGTTTGGGAGCAAATCCTGTGCATAGCCCAATTGTCCAGTTGCAGCCTGGCTTAGGAAGGAGTGTGTGATGAATACATCAAGCACAGAGCAAAGTAATTGAAAGATCATTGACCAACAATAGCAAGTTTAGATGAAGTCTGGGCAGAGCTTGGATGCTGCAGAAACAGCCCCGGCCTCCCTCCTTCCTCCCGACAGGGAGCGAGAGGATAACGAGAGGCATTCAGAGAGTGTGACCCTCCCCTCAGACATTCAGCTGAGGGAAGGGGCTGAAAAGAGAGGAGCTGCTGGCATTATCCAGGGTATTCTTGGGAGGAATAAAGGGAGGCAAGGCAGTTTTGTGGGCTCGAAACAAAAACCCAAACAGAGCGGCCGAGACAGGCCGCGCTTTGTTCGGGGCTGCGCCAGACGGAGCAGCGGCTCTGCCGTGTCTGACCTCGGTGACTCCTGCTCTGACGTGGGGCTGGGGGAGCAGCTGGGGCCCGGGGTTGGGTGGAGGGGGAGCCTTGGCAGCCCCGTGCTGGGTGCCAGACTCTCAGCCCGCTCGCACCCATCGACAGGCGGGCAGATGGTGCTGGGTGTGCTGGAGGAGGTCTCGCCTCCCACGGAGAGGAAGAAGGGGAAAGGAGGGGAGCAACGAGGCTGGGGAAGGGACTGGAGCACAATTGCCATGAGGAGAGGCTGAGGGAGCTGGGGCTGTTCAGCCTGGAGAAGAGGAGGCTCAGGGGAGACCTCCTCACTCTCTGCAACTCCCTGACAGGAGGGGGGAGCCAGGGGGGGTTGGGCTCTTTTCCCAGGCAACCATCAGCAAGACAAGAGGGCTGGGTCTTGAGCTGTGCCAGGGGAGGTTTAGGTTAGACATTAGAAAGAATTTCTCTCTAGAGAGGGTGCTCAGCTATTGGAATGGGCTGCCCAGGGAAGTGGTGGATTCTCCATCCCTGGAGGTTTTTAAGACAAGACTGGATGTGGCATCAGTGCCATGGGCTGGGAACCACAGCGGAGTTGGATCAGGGGTTGGACCTGATGATCTCAGAGGTCCCTTCCAACCCAGCTGATTCTATGATTCTATGAGATGCTTTCCCAATCTTTATCTTTTCCCTGCTCACTTGTAGAGGCTCCAGTGCCCACCTTGCCTTCTTTGGCTTCCTCAGCTCTGCCCTGCCTGTCGCCCAACCCTCGCCAATGCAGCGACCAGGAAACGTGACTGCTGCCCTTGCCATGTGCCTGGCACTGCCTGACTCATGTTCCTGGGATGGAAACACCTTCCCTAATCAGCCCCTGGCACCGCCGTGCCCGTGGTGGCTTTCACTGCCACCAGAGCAGTCAGAGGGGTCACAGGGAGGTCAGGCACCGCTCCAGGGGTGCCGGTGTGATTTTGGCTGCTGCACAGACAGACCCTGTACAGTCCCCAACCTCTGCTGGGTGCAATCCCACCACCAGTTCTCTCTCTCCTTCTGGCTCACACTGGAAGTTGACTCCTTCCAGCTCTTGAGAAAGACATTGGAATGGGAGAAGATACGAGCTCCATCTTCTCAGCTGCTTGAAGCCTTAACGACCTTCCCTGGGCACGACCAGGAAAGCAGTAGTGGCAGGAGACACCAGCCTTGGGCTTCAGGGCTGTTTTGGTGACTCCCTGTCAAAAATCCCAGCACGAACACACCTCTTACACACCCACTTCTCCCTGTGGGCTCCCTGGGGGACGGAGCAGGGCTGGCTGAGGTGGTTTGGCCCCCTTGGCTGAAGGGCTGAGGCAGCACCTTCATTAGCAGCTTCCAGGAGAGCCACTCCTGCCAAGGATCTGCTGTGGCTCCCCACGAAAACACCCTGTTAAAAAGCCACTCGGTGCAAAGTCCTTTCTGCAGCTGAGTCCTCCTCGGTGTTCCCGACAAAAACAGCCCCAGGGTTCCACCTCTTGGATCCTGCTGTGCTTGGGACGGTGGCCTTTTAGTGCCACACGGGGCTGCTGGTCCACCTGCTCTCCATGAGCTCTCAGGCACGGCTGGAAGGATCTACTGGGAACTTGGCTTCATGCTGGAGGAAAGAGAGACCATTAAAAAAGTAATGATTCTGAAAGCGTGTGCAGGGAAGGGAATGGAGCTGGGAAGGGGCTGGAGCAGCAGGAGCAGCTGAGGGAGCTGGGGGGGCTCAGCCTGGAGAAAAGGAGGCTCAGGGGGGACCTTCTGGCTCTGCAACTCCCTGACAGGAGGGGGGAGCTGAGGGGGGGTCGGGCTCTGCTCCCAGGGAACAAGGGAGAGGACAAGTGGAAACAGTCACAGCTTGCACCATGTGTAGTTTGGATATTGAGAACAATTCCTTCCTGGAAAGGGTTGTCCAGCCCTGGCACAGCTGCCCAGGGCAGGGGTGGAATCCCCATCCCTGGAGGGATTTCAAATCCCTGTGGATGTGGCACTTGGGGACAGGGGTCAGTGGTGGCCTTGGCAGTGCTGGGGGATGGTTGGACTGATGATCTCAGAGGGCTTTTCCAACCTTCATGACTGTGAGCCTGTGGAAGCACAAAGGCCCTCATCCTGACATTTACAAGAAGAGAAATGCCTCAGTCCAACATTTGGGCTCTTCTCCCTCTGTATCCCCTTTCTTTTCGAAGCCTGTTCCCTGTTTTTGATGCTCCCCATCAGTGGGGATGCCCCTGGAGCACCTTACACGTTGCTTACTCACAGCCAGACTCGCACTGGAGGCTGTTGGAGCAGGAATGCACTGGATCTGTAAGTTCATGGTCGAGGAACTGAGTTAAATTATCTTCAATTATCTTGTCTTGCACTTCCCAGGCGTCACAAACTGAGACGTGTCACAAACTGCACAGCGGCACCGGGAGGCTCCAGGACGGGCAGCTCTGGAAGAGCTTCACACCAACAGCTACAGGAGAGCTGCTCCTTTTTCATAGGATAATATTCCACCTCTTCTATGGAGACAGGCTGAGAGAGTTGGGATTGTTCAACTCCAGGGAGATCACAGAGCCCCTTCCAGTGCCTGGAGATATTCCAGAGCCCTCTGGATGCAATCCTGTGCCGTGTGCTCTGGGATGATCCTGCCTGAGCAGGGAGGTTGGACCAGTTGACCCGCTGTGGTGCCTTCCAACCTGCCTCATTCTGGGAACATTCTGTGAATAAAGGGGCTCCAGGAGAGCTGGAGAGGGACCTGGGACAAGTGACAGGACAAAGGAGGATGCTTTTAAGCTGAAAGAGGGTGGATTTAAATTGAATATTAGGAAGCAATTCTTCCCTGTGAGGGCAGTGGGGCCCTGGCCCAGGTTGGGCAGAGAAGCTGTGGCTGCCCCTGGATCCCTGCAAGTGTCCAAGGCCAGGTTGCAGCAATCTGGGACAGTGGAAGGTGTCCCATGGCAGGGGGTGGAACTGAGTGGTCTTTAAAGTCCCTTCCAACCCAAAACCATCCACAATTCCATGATTCTATAAACCAAATTAGCACTGGGGCAGCAGCATTTAGCACTGAGCATGACCTGGGCAGGCTGTTGGCTTCCCTGGGTGAAGTTATGCTGGTTTAAATCAACTTAATACCTGGCTGGGGACTGTGTTGGCAGAACAGATGCAAACCCTGTTGTTGAGCCACCTCGGGCTAATTGAGTTTCCTCGACCACAGATCCTCCGGGATCCGGAGCCGCACGTTTATAGAAAGTTTATGAAACTCCTCTTTATCCAAACTTTTACACGTGGACTTGTAATTAAGAGGATGAATGGTCCGGGTGACTTCCGTGGGAGGGGCTGGATGTGGAGTTCAACTGGTGCCTGGAGCCTAAGGTGAGTGGAACTTCCCCATGGGCTGGTCTGTGCCCTGTTGAAACAGCACAGAAGGAACTGTGGGTTTAGATTATATCATTTTGCTTCCTCCTGTCGTGACGGGACAAACCAGTAAAGAGTTACTGGTTTTAAACTGAAACCAGTTCCCCCAAACGCCTCTTGCACCTCAGCACAAAATAGTCGGGCAAAGTATAATCAGGATAATAAAGCCCAGCTTAATAATAGCACTGGAACAGGTATTTTGCTAGGGGTTGCACTGGAGAGTAAGAAATGCTTAAAAGAGGGGGATAAACACACAGAATACACTCAAAATACAAGGGTGAATTCTTATGGATAGAGCAAGCAGGATTGTGGAATCACATTAAAAAACGAGGGTGGGAGAAACCTCCAGGTCCAACCCTCCCCCACTTCCTCCAAGCAGCTCAGACCACCTCAGAGAAATATTTGGGGCTTGAAAATAAGTGACTAATCAACACTTCTGACCACTAAAT